ATTTATATATCAAGAATACAATTTATGCAGTATGTAGATCATTATATGAAATCTGCCCCGCTTTAAGGGACCCCCTTATTTGGAACGTTCCTACCTCGAATTTGACGGACCATGGGTTCGATTTCGGAATTGTCGATTGAAATTTCGAAGTTTGTACGTATCTTTAAAGTTATGCATGTGCGCCTGAGGGTTATAAAAATTAGATTGCAGATTGTTTTATTGATAAAATGGAAAACATTGGGTTTTTTTGGTTTTATTCAACGTTTTTTACATTGTAAAGTCACATAATGGCAAATTCCAGCCGAGAAACAAAGAATCTTAGCAATGATGAGTATCAAGCCATTACCGAAGGCCTGAAAAAGATTTACAGTCAAAAAATCAAGTCTCTGGAAACTACTTATAATTTTGAGGGATTTCATTCACCTCCGTTAACAGATAGTGATATAGAAGCCAAACCTATCGTATTACTCATGGGACAATATTCGACTGGAAAAACAACCTTCATAAAATATTTATTAGAAAAAGAATATCCTGGTTCGTTGATTTAAATATTTATTTTATTTTTATTTTGTTTTTATTTTTTATTTTAGGTCAAATATGTGTTTGGAGTTATAAAAATTAATCTTTGTTTTCTAGGATGTCACATCGGTGTAGAACCAACGGTGAGTGTTAGACAAACTTTCATTTTTATCTATGAAAAGGGATGATATAGGCGAGCTTTGGCTACCTTTTCGCGAATTTTGATAATACATATTCTCTTAAACAAGGGCAGGAAGGCTCTTCAAAGGATATTAGTTGATGAAAATGCATATATTTATTTATATTTTTAATCTAGACGGATCGATTTGTTGCTGTAATGAATGGAGTGGAAGAAAAGGTTCGTAGGCTTTATAAACTAGAATAAACTTTTTTATGTCAAATTATTTATCATTGGGTATTATTTTTTAATATAGGTCATTCCTGGCAATGCTGCAGCTGTAGATTCACACCTACCTTATCGAGGACTCAATAAATTTGGACAAGCTTTTTTAACAAGATTTCAGGTTTGTTATATTTTTGGTAACCATAGAACAACGACGACGTCTTATAATTATTTAATTAGTAGGTTTCGCAACTTCCAAGTCCTATCCTTGAGAATATGACGATAATTGATACTCCCGGCATTCTAGCTGGCGACAAGCAACGACTTGACCGCGGGTATGACTTTACTTCTGTGATCGAATGGTTCGCTGAGAGAGCGGATTTGATCTTACTATTTTTTGACTCTCACAAATTGGATATTTCCAATGAATTCAAATTGGCAATCACATCATTGAAAGGACAAGAAGAAAAGGTCAGAGTGTTACTTAACAAAGCCGATATGGTCGATGGCCAACAATTGATGCGTGTGTAAGTATTCTTCCTTTATATGTGTTTCTGATATCTACCTAATTAAAAGACTATCGACCAACTTATTAAAATTCTATAATAAAGGTATGGTGCTATGATGTGGTCACTCGGAAAAGTTGTCCAGACCCCTGAAGTAATGCGAGTTTATCTTGGGTCGTTCTGGTCAGATAAACCTCCTAATTCATTCGAGGATTGTAGAGCATTACTTGATGCTGAGCAAAAAGACCTGCTAAAAAGTCTCCGTGAATTACCACATAACGCTACTATCAGAAAAGTCAATGAGATTGTTAAGCGAGCGAGAATATCAAAGGTTTGTAATATATAATAATAACATTCATGAAATTTTAAATTTACTATATATATCTGGACTGTAGTGTCTAGTTAAATATCTCTGAATAATTATCCAACCAAAGTGAGGGTCACAAAACGCAAAAATTCTAGTGATTACTTAATTACTTTTCGAGGTATTTAATTAGGCATCACAAATCAGATATACATAAAAATAATGTGAAATTTAAGGAAAAATTTATCATTAAATAGGTGCATGCTTATATCATTGGACATTTGAAAAAAGAAATGCCTTCTTTATTTGGCAAGGAATCCAAACAAAAGGATCTTATTGAA